ACCTATTTATATGCTCTTCTTTCCCGAATGAATTTCAGTTGCGAGTCAGCGCCTGTCTGCGATTTCTTCTTCTTCGTCGTCGTCTCGTGTGCGCTGTTTCGACCAAGATAGCTTAGCTTACCCGCGGCCTATTTATAACGGTTCTTAAGCGTGCACTGCCTATTGCAGCTAATGCCACTGCGCTTGAATTCACGCACAATCAGCTTTGCACAACCATACTGGTGTTTTCGGCCACACGTGACGCAGAGAAGTTTAGCTGTACCTACATTGCAGTCTTCAACAGATGCAGCGTCACGTATCTCTGCCTATAGGGAGGATATTCGCAGCTACGGAAGGCGTTTCCAACGACGCTCACTTGCATCACAGGTTTAGTACAAAAACAGTAGAGCCATTCCTGAGCAACACAATAAGCACCGATGCTAATCTTCCTGCTTTGCGAGCGTATGTTAGCTGTGATCGACGAGAGTCACTACTGTAATTCATAGCAACATCAAAGAAGCATGACCTAGCTAGTTCAACAAGATTTAAACTAGCCGAGCAGCGGTAAGGCCGACGCAGCAATGAAAAAATAAAGTTTAGAAATATCAACGGAGACTTCAAACGCACAACACTGCAACACTCCACACACTACAAACAACGTAAGAAATTGACAAAAATAGAACTAGCTAGTTACGGAGAGTCAAGTTCTACTTGAGTTGTATTAGCGCGGCACACATGAGAAGGAAACCCGTCAAGAGAAAGGTAGGCGCAAAACTTCCACCTGTTTATTCTATCCCCTTCACACCAGTTAGCATGAAGTAACCTTTAGCGGCGTGCTGTGTGTAGCGCACTTAATGCGGCTGATGCGGAGAGCAGAGGTTCGAGCTCGGACTCGGGCCTGAGGCCGCAATAAGCGTCTCTTCACCGGACTACGGCTCTTTCCTTCGCGCTGCCACCGTGCACTCGAGTCATCCAGGGGACCCATCCCGGACCTCAAACATCTTCCTTCCTTAGCTAGTGTAGAAGCTAGTCGAGGAGGAGGAAATTAACTACACCCATTTCATACATGAGCAAAACAAAACAAAAAAACTAATCTTGCACGTGATTTCATCCCAAGAAACGTCATTTCCTTTTCCGACAAAGCAATTCGTCGCTAGCCGACATAGAAGATTAGTTTCGTCTCCGAAGATAAACTTGCTCACACCCACAAAGGGCCACACTGTCCATTATGGCTCAGCCAAATTATAGGTTATATAAAAAAAACGACGAAGGCCGTGTAAATAAAAAAAATCCGAGAGGTACAATTATTCAACCATGTATATATAGAAGACCGAGAAAAGAAGAAAGAAAAATATTTTTCCGTGTGCCAGTAACACCAACAGCGTAATCTTACGACACCCCTGCGGTTTGCACCACACTTACTGAATCCAAACAATAACAGACTAAAGGAGGTAAATGTGAATCCTAGTTTACCAGTCGGGATTTTCAGAACGTTTTAAGATCATTGCGAATGACACATAGATTGGGAAATGAGAAGCCAGATTTGTGATAATGACAATAACTTCACCTGGGAACTCTACAGCGAAAGCTTGTCGGACATACCTCGCATCTTCGCGAAAGGCATCTTGAGGTGTCTGCTGTACGTGCTCATCGAATAGAATTACAGCGGTTTCGTTGTTCTTTTAAAAAATGACAGAAAAATGAGCGACTATTATGTGGACCGAATAAAGTTATTTCGCTCACTCACAGGACCACCTAAAGACACTCTAGCGAGCAAGTCAGCTAGCCGGCCAATAACGATACAACTGTACAGGGGAGCACCTTTGCATTGCGCTGCTAGGAACCTTCCTTCTGCGCTGTAGCTGTGTTCACGTCATTGAGACACCTCTCAGTCTGTCCTATACTGTACTTCGCACACAATAATCAACAGCACCTACAATCAATAAATTTAACAAGGTGTTTTTATCCCAAGCTCAGTGAACGACGTTACTTGAGCAAGTCAACTTGCAAAGCTAATTTAGTTTTTTGGACGCAGAGAAAAATAACACGTACATTAGCCCACTGGGCCACGTTCTTTATGTTATGGGATCCCACCTATTCAGCAGCCTGAGCACTCCACAACTTACCGCCTGTTTTCCTCCGTGAATCTTTCAGAATGCGTTCGGCCACAGACACCGCTCACAGAATTGTGTACCCTGCTTGGATGAGACGCTTGTTTTCCGTCTCGAAACTCGACGCCATTTCGCGATGACCTGATTCGGCCAGGAAAGATTTAAAGCACGTGTTTGCGATGCGCCTCTCTTAACGACTTCTGAGTGCGCGAAGACAAAAGAGGCTTATTTAGCTCGCAGCGTACGCCGAATACTAGATGGGAGTTATTAGTGTAGTTAGTGGGACGTAATAATTTACGGATCTTGAATACATTTTTCAGGAAACGGGCTAACCGCAAGTGGACGTGGCGAAGTCCTAAGGGCGAAACTAAAAAGGAAATTGACTTCATTCTGCGTGCACACTCAGGCATTGTACAGGATGTAGAAGTAGTTGGCAAGATCCGATGCAGTGACCACAGAATGATAAAAGCTCGTACTCACCTAAATTTTAAAAAGCAAAGGCCAAAACTGATACGCAAGAAGCCGATTATTGAACTAGCGGTGAGAGCGAAAGTACAGGAATGCAGTGTTTCGCTACAGAATAGATTCGAAGCACACACGAGGTAACCGACGTTAGCATTGACACAATGAACGATAATGTATCATAATAGAGTGTGCAATGGAAGGCGGGGGTAGACGCTAGACAGGACTTCTGGCAAATCATCTCAGGAGACGAAAAATCTTATTAAGACGCGACAAACCACCAAAACATCAAATGCGACCGACAAAATACAGCTAGTGCAGCTTTTGAAGTTGATCCATAGATTTAAGATAGCCGACGCCAGAAGCTATAATATGGACTGAATTAAGCAGCCTGTAAAAAGTGGCAGAAGCCTAAAAGCTGTGAAGGCAAACATCGGATGTATACATTAGAGAACAATGAAGGCAATGTCAATCAATATGGATAGGATAGTCGAGGTGGCGGAGGAGTTCTACAAAGAGCTGTACAGAAGCGAAAACAGCCAGGATGATATACCCAGAAACAATAATAGTCCAGGCGAATTCAACATCCTACCAGTAACGACAGGGGATGTAAGAAAAGCCCAAGAAGGAATGAAAAGCCGCCGGTGAGGATAAGGTAAAAACGGACCTCCTGAAAGATGGCGGAGACATTGTGTTGGAAAAATTGGCCACCTTATATACGAAGTGTCTCTTGACGGGAAGGGTACCATAATCTTGGAAGAAAGCCAACATTATCTTAATCCACAAGAAAGCAACGTCAAGGACTTGAAAAATTACAGGCCTATCAGCTTACTGTTCGTTCTCCAGAAACTATTTACAAAAATAATAGCTAATACAAATAAGGCGACATTAGACTTCAATCAACCAAAGGATCAAGCATGATTTAGTACCGGCTACTCCACTATAGATCATATTGAGACTATATTTCGTAATAGAGAAATGCGGGAATATACCCAATCCCTATACATAGCCTTCATAGATCACGAGAAGGCGTTTGACTCAGTCTAGAGATCAGCAGTAATCCAGCTTCTACAGAATAAGGACATAGAAGAACCCTACATAAACTTACTGGAAGAAATCCACACTCAGATCCACAGCCACCATAGTTCTCCATAGAAAAAGAAACGGAATCCCAATAAAGAAGGGTGTAAGGCAGGGAGACACCATCTCTCCAATGCTATTCACCGCGTGTTTACAGGAGGTATTCAGATAGACTGGGAAGAGTTAAGTATAAGAGTTAATGGAGAGTATCTCAGTAAACTGCAATTCTGATAACATTACCTTGAGTAACTCAGGGGACGAATTACGACTAATTATTACAGAACTGGACACGGAAAGCAGAAAGGTAGGTCTGAAAATAAATATGCACATAACTAAATGAACGTGCAGCAGTCTCTGCAAAAAAACAGCACTTAGCGATACGTAGAGAGACGCTGGAAGTTGCAAAGGAATATGCCTACTTAGGACAGGTAGTAACCGCGGAGCCGAACCATGAGAGTGAAATAACTACAAGAATAAGGATGCGGTGGATCACATTCGGTAAGCATTCTGAAATCATGAATGGTAATCTGCCACTAAACCCTCAAGAGTAATGTATGTAACAGCTGCATCTTGCCAGTACTTACCTACGGAGAAGAAACCTGGAGGCGTACAAAGAGGGTTAAGCATAAAATGAGAACGACGACGCGAGCGATGGAAAGGAAAATGATAGGTGTAACCTTAAGAGACAAGTAGCGAGCAGAGTGGGTCAGGGAACAAGCCGGGGTCAAGGATATAGTCGAAATTAAGAAGAAGAAATGGACATGGGTCGGGCACGTAGCAAGTAGGCAGGACAACCGCTTGTCATGAAGGGTAACTGACTGGATTCCCAGAGAAGGCAAACGCACGAAGGGGAGACAGAAAGTTATGTGGGCCGATCAGGTTTAAAAGTTTGAAGGTATAACGTGGCCACGGAAAGCACAAGACCGGGCTGATTGTCCGATCATGGGAGAGGCAGGCCTTTGCCCTGCAGTGGGCGTAGTCAAGCTGATGATGATAGTGCATACCACACGCATGTTTTGACGGAAAAGAAAATGATGTTTCTTGGAATTAGATCATTCGCACAATGATTTTTTTTTTTTTTTGCACATGCATAAGATGGGTGTGGATGGCATGAGATAAACAGTTGGAAGTGTAGCACCTACCTTTCTCTCTTAAGTTTGTGTCGTGTTTGCTTCTTATATGCACCGCGCTATTACAAACTAGGTTCATGGATGACCAACTCGCCCGAGCTGTAAATATTCTCAAGTCGAACGACCACCAACCCACGAAGCGCACGCGATCTTGTGAAACTCGCGCAACGTTGACCGCGCGTGCCACGAAGTGACGCCGCTGAGAAACACATTCGTAGCCCGGGGAAGATAGACTCACCATATTTTCTCGCAGTGTCATGTCAGGTATCCAGAGTAGTAATATCCAAGGTGTCCGTAGAGACGCACCGCATGCGCGAACAGCACAGCGTGTCTTGAAAGCGTACCACGCGAGTTTGTAAACCTCCTTGTTTGCGTTCTGATCGGAGCGTCACACACAAACACCCAACGCACAATACGACCACCGGCCGAATGAGCGATCTTTGCGAGCGCCGCCGCGAGAGGCCGCCACTGAGCCGACCCGTTCGGGTGGCTGCGACTGGGACGCCCACTCGCGGCGGACATCGCAGTCACGACGTCAATTTTTACGTGGGGTACGTCACTGGCGCGGCAAGTTTATTTTATGGCTTCGTAGCCCGCATTGGCGGGCAGACGCGGCGTGGACCTTGTAGCGTGTGCGAATAATCATCCTACTCGCTAACGAATAATGTAAGCGCTTCGCTCCGTAAAAGTGGTGGGCACACCGAAAGATGAATGCGCCAAGCCCGTGTTTTCAGCTGCGCGTGAAGGAAATGCGACTACCCCTATCCATCATTTGTGATTTAAAGTGAGACCTTGACGAATGTTAACTATTGGATTGAAGCCTTCGCGTCGCCGTATGCTTCCAAATTGCTGCATTCCTTCATTTCTTGGTGGATTCGACTCCTATGCGTTATAAGTACATTGCTCAAGAAATTCAACCGTACATTATTTCTAACCGCATTTGACAAAAACGTAATACATGAATAAATAAGTAAATAAATAAATAAATAAATAAATGTAAGAGCATATTTCAACCCAATCATGACATCGGCTATATTATTATCGAGTGCAGGAGGGAACTTTTTGTATTTGGCTCTGTATTCGAGGACGCTGCAAGGGGCACACCTCATTTCACAACTCATACAGACGATATCAACCAGGGAATAAATTTCGTAACAAAGAGATTTAACGCCAATTATTTTCGTTCTTCATTAGGTAATCGTTATTGACGCACTAATGGACAAGATCCCAAAAATGGCGACACGACAATAATGACAAGAATAAATGGTGTCACTGAAAGAAATGTTCCGTCCTGCACCTGCATACCGATACACGTATACGCCTTCCGGTGGCCGTGAAAATTGATGCTTGAACAATTGTAAAGATAAAAGTGACAGCGCCTATCTCAAGGTTTAAGTGGAGGGATGGCCTCTACCGAGAATGTTCGATAGATTACGCAAGTAACCTTCTTGCCATCGCCGAGATAACACAGGGCGCTTCGATATGTCAACGTGGCAGAGCCACACGTTTAAACGCTGTCAGCATCATCGGAAAATCAAGGCATCGAGCGTCACCACCAAAGAGCGCCCTTATAACAGTAGCTAATTATAAACCCATTCGTTGATCATCACTGCTTCACTGAGCAGGGCATTCCTCGAAAGCGGGTGAAGAGGGGTAACTCGTGAAAGATGCGAGGAGCCCTCGCCTGAGGCCGGGCTCCGCGGCAAGTGGACTCCGAAGGTCGATCTACGAGAATAGCGTCTCCATGGGACTTTGGGGTACGCATAATTGGGCCGGCCTCCTCCGATTTGTGCCATAACATTTAAGGATTGCCATGACTTAGCCCCAGAGGCTACCGAATTGCTCTTCATTACTCGGCTAGGGCGGTGACCAATCACGATCAGCCCACAAAAAGGACAAAAACACAAGAAAGTGCGCGATACAAGCGCTGTCTTACAAAGAAAGTTCAACGCAAAAAACGTGCCATATATATGCACAAGCACCTTTTGTGCGCTAATCGAGATGAGTTTGTTCCGAAAAGCCCAATTTGCTACTTCAGGGTCCTTTCTGATGAAGGCTATATTTCTTTTCTCTCTCTTCCTTAATGCCAATTGTCGATAGAGCGCCTGACCTTGAACTGCTCCGGGGGAGAGCAGTAGAGTGTATTCGGTTGACAGGGCCCACTCGCTCAGTGCATGCAGCCGCCCGAAAGAGCTGGCAAATATACAAGGTCTATATCCGAACCGCGACGCCGGTTTGGGTAAGTGCCTTTCGGCCGGCTTCCGAATGTGCCGCGATCGTATATGGGATGGTCAATGTAAAGAAGGCTCTCTGTGGGCTTACGTTCCGTCGTCTAACGTCGAGTCACGAGAGCCGCAAACTTCACAGGGCGGGTTATTATACTGCATTGTTCTTTTCCTTCGCGGAGACTCCTTCAGCTGTTGCGGAGTGCTGACTGCGCACATCTGTAGAGTTCAGCAATAATGTAGAAGAAGAGCTCCGGTAATGGAGGAAGTGTTAGCTGGGAGCATGGGCAAGCGCGAATGCAGCAACTTCACAGAAACACAAAGCTCAAGGTCAGCGACGGCCGACCGGATATTGAAGCCCGGAACAGCGATATAGCAAAAACCTCTCCTGAAAATCTGGACGACCGCACAAGTCTATTAACTTGTACTTACTTACAGCGCAACACCAGAAAAAATAGAGGACAGGGAAGGAGCAAGAGAGAAAGAAAAGACGGCGCTGACTCACAACTGTTGTTTATTGGAAAAAAACGGGGTGAAAAGTACATATATATATATATATATATATATATATATATATATATATATATATATATATATATATATATATATAGGTACTGGCACCTACATCACAACATGCGCAGAATACGAGGTGCACCCAGGTAGCGTTGTCACACTCATGGCAATAAACAAGATTGGCCTAAATAACTTAATTCTTTTTCATGTAGTGGGACGGATGGTTCACTAACGCACTTGCTACCCTTAATCTTTATATGACATGCCTCAGCGATTTCTCTTGTTAGCTGGTTGGGATGCTTGAAGATGATGGTGGTTCTCTCAAAAAGGGGACGACAACCGCATGACCTGCAATGTTCCGGCAGATGAAGTCGCGCGATCCCTTGAAGAGATAACTCATGCTCCCTTAAACGAACATTCACACATCGTTTCGTTTGTCCCACGTACTCCCTACCAAACGATAATGAAGTTAAATACACAGCTTTTTTAACGCATGCCATGTACTTGTTCTTATGATTCACAGCGCATCTCCCTTTGGCTTGTTTGTTCCTCAGTGCATTATCAACCATCGGGCAAATGCGACCTACCTTATGTTTGGCGGAAAAAAGAACGTTGACACCATGCCTTGAGCCTACGTTTTTCAGCCCATGCTGAAAAACGTCCATGCTGTTTTGTCCAGGCGGGTTCTGTTTTTCAGCCCATGCTGAAAAACAGAACCCGCCTCACACAATGATTACCCTCCTGCTGTGCCAGAGAACGGAACGGACCCTCTTGGTTCTCTCTTCACGTGAGCAGAGGTACGAGAGGTTCTATATGAGCTCCACTGCTGATCAGCTCCGGGTCCCGATGGGATCAGTAACAAACTCTCAAAGAATTAACCTGACTGAGATATCCAGCTTCTAACGAATAAAATCAACGAGGTATGGGAGACTGCTGAGGTTCCAATAGAGTGGCGCAGCACGACCGTCATCCTCATCCCGAAGCCGGGGAAACCCCTGGAGCTTGGCTCACTCCTGCCGATATCTCTCACTTCATGTGTGGGGAAGGTCGCCGACCACGTTATCCTCCAGCGGGCCACTAAATTTGCCGAGGAAAGGAATCTTTTTCCATTTAATCTAATTGGATGCAGGCCATTTATGTCAACGCAAAATGTAATGCTGCTTTTAAAACACAAGATCATTGGCAGGGTCTCCAGAGACACCAGAGCTGTTTTGGCACTTGACCTGGAAAAGACCTTAGACAAGGTCAAACACTGTCGCATACTTTATTGCATTAAGAAGTGGGTCTAGGAGAACATTTTTACAACTACCTCAGCTCATTTCTTAAGAATAGAAAAACTATTCCGCTAGAATCTCTCGGCTCGAAGACGTTTGATCTTGGACCCAGAGGCGCTGCACAAGGGGCAGTGATATCCCCATTTTTATTTAACTTACCGCTGACAGCACTTTCCCACAGTCTGGCCGAGATTTAAAGTCTCTGTCACGCTTTCTACGCCGACATCACCGTGTGGTGCGAGGGAGGTAGTGATGAACAAATTGAAGAGCGATTACAAACAGCGATCAGGGTTGTTGAATATTTTCTTCACAAGGCAGGACTCTGCTTGTCGGCTAATAAATCGGGACAGCTCATTTACCTACTAATAATCGGTGCAAAGAAAAGAAGTTTCCCTGAACTCTTGATCACCACAATGAACGGCTCTATTATTGCGATCGTAAAGAAAGTTAGAATCCTCGCTATGTTCCTGGAAGAGGATGGCAGTAACTCCTACACGTTAGAATGCAGTGCAGTCAGAGCCGATTCCATGACAAAATTAATCACCAGGGTGGCCAATAAACGAGGGGGGTTATCCGAGGAGAACCTTCGTAGACTCTTTCACGCCTTTCTAATGAGCCACATCAACTACATCGCCCTGGCCCACAAGTGCAGTAGTAGAGATGAAGCCCGACTAGAGTCAATAATTTGGAAGAACATAAAAAAGGTACTGGGTTTCCCACAGAGCACCAGTACAGAACATCTATTTGCACTGGGTGTCCACAACACCTTTAGAGAAATAGTAGAGGAACAACAGTTCCCCCAAGTTGCAAGACTGGCTTCCACGGCGGTTGGCAGACAGTTACTAGCGCAAATTGTTATACGGTCTCACATCGCCAGACAGAGGGAGTGCACGCTCCCTATCAAAGTCAGGGAAATGTGTACTGTATCTCAGGTACCTAGAAACATGCACCCCCAATACAACTACGGCAGACGCAAAGCAACGGACAGAGCCCTTCTTCGAACAGCGGCTACGATGGAGGGCAACGTCGCCTGAAGCTCGTTCGCAGGAACTAAACTTGCTGCAGGAAATTGTACTACGGACAAAAGCAATATTTAGGGTATGAGAAAAGGCTAGCGGAGTTTTGTGGTTTACGGAGACCATCGCAACCTACCCGGTTGTTTGATCTACCTTCCCTGTCGTTATGGGCACGGCCATATAATATTGCATGGTCTCGAGCCCTGCACTAGATCGCCTTTGGAATGCCTGCAGAGATAAGGTGATTTTTGCTTCAGGAACAACGCGTAAACATTAAACTCTGTTTTCAGTGACATCGAGGTTATATCCGTCTCGCAAAAATAGGCTCTCTAAAATCATCGACCAATGCAGCGGGTGTACCAGCTGTGAGAAACGAAGCGTTTTCACGGTATTT